TTCATGTCCTCAACAACACCTTCTTTCCAGCTCTGTGGATACTTAAAGCGGTGCCCAAGCCCCAGAGTGCTTTTACCCACCATCAACTCTCATAGGAGCCCTGAGCACTGGGAGCAGGGTGGAGTGCTTTTTCTTGGTTGGGTGGGTGATGAGAAGAGACCACCTGAGCAGGAGAGAACATGTACAGCAAAGATCTAGGTCAGAGCATTCCAGTAGACGGAAGAGCCCCAAGTGCCAAGACCAGGGAGGGAGGATGTGGGTGCAGGTGAGAAACAGCAAGAGCCTGCAGGCTGGTCTGGAGGGAGGGGAGAGCGTGGCGGAGAGCACGAGCAGATCGCTGAGGGGTGGGCCACGGGCATTCATGGGGTTTTGAGCAGGAAAATGATTTGAGCTGATCCTGCTAGCTGCCATGTAGGGAATGATCATGTCAGGTCAAGAATGAAAACCAGGACCCCATTTGGGTAGCTTGCGTAGTCCCCAAGTGAGAGCTGATGGAAGCTTTTGCCAGAGTGGTAGCTGTGGAGGTGGTGAGAAGGGGTTGGATATATACTTATATAGTTATATACATTCATCAAAAGGCGTATTGACATATGCTTAGATATACTGATATTTGTAATTTATAATAGATACGTTACATTTTCCCTTTGAGAAACAAACCCCAAACTCCTCTCTCCCTCTCCCTCCCTCTCTCTCTCTCTCTCTCTCTCTTTCTCTCTCTTTTGGGGTAGGGGATGGAAATATCTTCTAATTGCTTAAAAAAATATTTTAGTGTTTCCAGTGAGTGGTAAGAAAGGGCATGGTAGAGTCTATCTTGTTTTAGCAGAAGATAATTTACTTGGCAACATATCAGTGTATGTTTTGAAGCCAGAGTTTTCACAATCACAGATGACTTACAGGGTCTAGGTTTGAGCCAGAGCAACCGGGTGCCTCCTGATGCTGTTTACTGATATGGGCAAGAGTGGCCAAGAGGGGTCCTCTGGAGCAGTGGGCTCTAGCTGGGAGCACAGTGTGTGACCTTGATCCTCTGCTTTCTCTCCTCCTGCAGTGATCCCGAAGGTCACCAAGCACCTGCTCTCAAACCCTGTGTTCACCTGCATCATCCTGGCCGCCTGCATGGAGATTGCAGTGGTGGCTGGCTTCGCTGCCTTCTTGGGGAAGTACCTGGAGCAGCAGTTTAACCTCACCACCTCTTCTGCCAACCAGCTGCTCGGTGAGTGTGTCCCTTGGTCCTCCTGAGAGGACAGAGACAGCCGTCATGCATGTAATGCTCTAAGGATTTACTGAGGCCCACCAGCTCGGCCTGCTGCAGCAGCCTGCATGTAGTCTATGTGCAGAAGGAATTTCCAAATGTATTCTCAGGGTAATATTTGCTCACTGAAAGTGCATGAAACTAAGGAGCAAAAATATAAAACGTATGTAGGAGACAATGTGAAAGGCCAGTAAGTTAATAGATTGGTGTGAACTGGAAAATGTGGGGAGATATGATGAAGGAAGAGGGCAATCGAGATGAATCTTGAAAGGTTAGCAGGCTTTGGTCAGGCACATAAGAAAGCAAGAATATTCTTGGCAACATGAAACCCATGCTTAACAAACGTAGAGCTTGGAAGCCACGTGCCTGCCCTTCCCTGCACCCGTGGTAGGCGTAACTCCTGGACCATGGTGCTCCTGCTCCCCAGGCCCAGGCGTGGCTATGTTCCTTCTCAATAGTGGACTACAGTCATCTACTCCCAAGTGTCTGGAGTTGACATACTGCAGAAAATGAATGTGCCTCACGAAAAGAGCATTGCTCAGGAGGTTGAGGAATGTGGTCTCATAACATGTCTTTGTTTGCTTTTCATTTTGTGACAATATCTTCTTCCCTGACCACAAATGGCTGGCAGCTGCATTTATTGATGTAATCAGCTTAGATGTTGACTAGCAGTGGACACAGCAAAGACACAGCAGTTGAGGGAGATGGAAAAGTCAAGAGTGACTCTCAGGTTTCTGGGTTGGGCAGCTGGTGGTACCATTTGTGAAAACCAGAAATAGTGGAGAAGAATCAGATGAGTTCAGACCTGAGTATGAGATGCCTGTGGTATATCTAAGTGATGTCCTATATTCAGTTGAGGACTTAAGAAGGGATCTGGAATAGTGACATAGTAACATATGTTATACGTAGTGGTAGAGGTTTGGTTGCATCAGCATGTGGGTGGTAGTTGACATGGGAGTGGAATTTGCACAGGGAAAATATAGAGAACAGGAAAAGCACATGTGAAACTCTAACCTCAGGAAATGTTTGGTTGCATCAGCATGTGGGTGGTAGTTGACATGGGAGTGGAATTTGCACAGGGAAAATGTAGAGAACAGGAAAAGCACATGTGAAACTCTAACCTCAGGAAACAGAGGAGGCTGCAGAGCAGTTTAAGAGCAGCATCCAAAAGAAATCCAGAGATTGTGGGTCACAGAAATCAAGGGGAGATGATTCCAAGAAGATAGAAGCAGCCAGCAATGCAAGCAGTCAAGCAGAATGAGGGCCTGATATCCCTGCTGGCTGTAGCAGTGAAGACGTCTGTGGCCTGTGCCAGGGATGTGCCATGAGGTGTGGAGAGAGCCCACAGGAGGGAAGGAATAGACAGTGAGCACAGGACTTAGCAGTGGAAAAAGGGACAGAGGCCCTGGCTTCTGGCCAGTGTTAGAGTTGAGGGAAGGGGTGGTGATTATGTTGTTGCTAGGACAGGAAAGTCTTGAGCAGTTTCTAGGCAGAAGGAAAAGAGCAAGTGGAAGGTGATTTGCAGAGAGGGAATGTGGGCGGACAGCCCTTGACAGAAGAGCTCATTTATTTTCCTGAAAGGGCAGAGGAGGGACACGTGATTTAGGCCACTGAGAACATGACAGTATGGTTAAGCATCTGAGAGAGCTCCAGCCCCACAGACTATCTTCTCTGTTACTTAGGAGTCATATCATTTGCTGAGAGGAATGGGAAGATGATGTTTTCTGATCTCCTTTAAAATCTCTTGTCAGCTCACAGAATAGCCAATAAACAAATGCAAAGGTGCTAAATAACCATCATGAGTCATCAGGGAAGTGCACATTAAGACCACAGTGGGATACTAGGACAATCACCAGACTGATAATACCAAGTGTTGGTGAGGACGTGGAGCAACTAGAACTCTCTGCTAGTGGGAATGCAAAATGGTGCAGCCACTTTGGAAAACCCTTTGGTGGCACCTGTTAAAGCTAAGCCTGTGTTGTGATCCATGAGCTCCATTCCTGTCATCTATCCAACAGAAATGAACGTTTAGGTCCACTCATTGACATATGCATATTTCACAATGTTCAGAGCAGCTTTATGCATAATAGCCCCGAACTGGAAACAACCGCAATGTCTGTCAACAGTATAATAGGTAAATAAATTATAGAATGCTCATACAGTGGGCTGTGACTCAGCAGGAGAAAGAA